ATGATAACACACTAACAAGGCTAGTCTCTAATATTATGGGATCAACACTTTTTTCTCTCCCTCAGGGAAGTTGTGTCCTTAATCAAGTGTCAGGTAAGTTTATTCATAAATTAACTTATGCCAGTTGTGCTTATTAATGTAAGAATATAATTTAATAAAGTATTACATAAAGCAATTAACTGTAAGTGACAAGAGGAAAACAGCAGCAGCTAATATTGAGTACTTGCTACCTGCCAGACGCTGTTCTAAGTGCTTTACATGAACTGACTCCTATAATCTTCACAAGAACCCTAGAAACTAGGTACTATCATTGTCCCTATTTTCCGAAGGAGAAAACTGAGCAACGTGCCCAAGACCTGTATAACTAATAAACGGCAAAACAATTTGGCTCCAGAGCTTAAGAATTTAGCTACTATACTACATGGACTGTCTGGTAGTTGTTTCCATGAAAACCAAGTTGAAAGCTTTGGAAAGACTAGATAAAAATGAGTCACACAGATACATACAACTACTCAACTTTACCTTGTACATCAAAGTAGTAGCCATAAATAATATGTCAACAAATGAGCATGGCTGTGTTCCAATAAAACTATTTACAGAAATAGGCAAAAGGCTAGGACAAGGTTTGGCCCTCATGCTGTAGTTTACAGATTCCTGGGGTCCACAACCCAAGAAAAGCCTTATTTTAAAGAATGGCAAAAAGATGTTTATGCTTTAAGTTAAGATCAAATGGTTAAGGTCTGTGTGTAACTAGTATCTGTAGGATTCTCTGTTTTAACTTATTTTTTTAGTTGGCCAACTATTGGCCCTAATTGCATCAAATAAGAGGGCAACTCTGGTCTTGTAAGAAATTTGTGCCATCTCTCCTGTCTTTGTGCTTTTGCCAAAGCCACCCCCTCAACCTGGAGAACCATACTTCCTCATTTCCATTTGGAATCCCACTCATCCTCAAAGCCTATTATCTAACCACACATACTCTTTCAAACTAGATATCATCTCTTCTTCCTTTGAAAACCTACAATAATTAATTTCTACTTATGGGACTTACTTTGCTATGTTTTCTAGTATAATTATTTGTATACTTCAACTATCCCTACTGTTCAAGTACAAGCAGTTTGAGGACAAGAACAATGACTTACTCATTTTCCTATTCCAGGCAACACCCAGCACAGTACCTTACACATAGAAGGTTTTCAGATATTTCTTGAATTGTGTTCTGACATTCTTCTGTTTTCAGTGACTGAACAGAAAGAACACTATACCAACTCCCCCAAACCTATATTCAATTCATATTGCTATCACCACACCTATCATCTAACTTGGTTATGACTTTAAACTTTAATTATAGTTTAATATTTGCAATGCATTCACTAGTACAGATTAGTATGGGTGTACCTGTATATAAAAATTATCATCTCTACAGCAAAATTGCTGATAATTTTTTTGTTTTTAAGATTTATCTGACAGAGAGAGCGCACGCGCGCATGCACAAGGCAGGGAGTGGCAGGCAGAGGCGAGGGAGAAGCAGACTCCCTGGGAGCAGAGGCCCAATGGGGGCTCGATCCCAGGACCCTGAGATCATGACCTGAGCCGAAGGCAGATGATTAACCAACTGAGCCACCCAGTGCCCCCAAAATTGCTGATAATTTGAAAGGAATTGTTAAAATTGCCACTTACTGGTTAATCTTGGGTAATCTTTATATTTATTTAAATATAAAATATATTTTATAAATACATTTAAAAACTGTGTATTTAAGCAAAACAAACAAACAAAAATGCTTAATTCAAACCTGAGATCAGGATTGTGCTTTCCTTATCTCCGTATTCCCAGCAGTACTTAATAGATACCTGGGTCTAAATCACTCCTTTCACAAAGTGTTTAGGAAGCATGGCCTAAGCTCAGAGCGAGTTAGAAGGGCTGGGATGGGAATTCAGATTTCCTGATTCCTGCTCCAATATTCTAATTCATGAAGACAGTGCCTTTTTACTTATTTGTTTAAAAATTTTTTTCCATTAAAAAAAATTATTTATTTATTTATTTATTTATTTATTTATTTATTTATTTATTTACTTTTTAGACAGAGAGAGAGAGAGAGAGACAGCACGAGTGGAGGGAGGGGCAGAGGCAGAGGCAGAGGGAGAGAATCTCAAGCTGACTTCCCCCTGAGCATGGAGCCTGAGATCATGATCTGAGCTGAAATCAAGAGTCAGATGCTTAACCAACTGAGCCACCCAGGCACCCCGACAGTGGCTTTTTATCTTTTTTTTTTTTTAAGGTTTTATTTATTTGACAGAGAGAGACACAGCAAGAGAGGGAACACAAGCAGGGGGAGTGGGAGAGGGAGAAGCAGGCTTCCCGCTGAGCAGGGAGCCCGGATGTGGGGTTCAATCCCAGGACCCTGGGATCATGACCTGAGCGGAATGCAGATGCTTAATGACTGAGCCACCCAGGCGGCCCAGACAGTGGCTTTTTAGATGTATACCTAATCCTGCAGTTCAAATGCTGCAGGACTTAGGGAGCCTCACCACTGTCTTCCCCTTTTTCATACTGCTGATCAGAACTAGCAGCTGTGTTCCCACAGTGGTGACCTGGGCATGCATATTTGTGGTGTCCCAATTGCCAAAAATGCTGATCCAGATTTTACGTGCCTGCCTATCTAAAAAGGCTACTTAAATACACTGGATGAAAACATCCCCAACTCAAGAATTCAGGATAAGCACTCAAATGATCTTTTAGCATTTTTTAAAAGGTACTATTCAGATGTTTCAGTGCTGGAATGACGATGACCAGTATTGGGGAAAGGGGTTAGAAAAAGTGATGTCACTTAGGCAGTTCATTCTCCCTCTCCCTGACAGGTAGCCAAGTTCATATTCTAAACAGAGCTACTGCAAAGGATTCCAGTTCTAGTGCTTAGATTCCAGTTGCATCACTGTTTTCACACTGTCAGCCTTCACTGCTTTAACCATCTTAATCTGTAAAATGTACACAGGAAGCAGACAACAGCCCTGTCTCTCAGTTTAATAGAGAGATACTTTACCAACAAAAATCAGTTCCATATACTATTTCTAGCTATTCTATCCCCCTCTTCCCCCTCCCCTAGAGCTTTATTTATTTATTTATTTTTAAAGATTTTATTTATTTATTTGACAGAGACAGACAGAGCGAGAGCAGGAACACAAGCAGGGGGAGTGGGAGAGGGCGAAGCAGGCTTCCCGCCAAGCAGGAAGCCCGAAGCGGGACTCGACATGACCCCGAGCAGAAGGCAGACGCTTAACGACTGAGCCACCCAGGCGCCCTCCCCTAGAGCTTTAAACAATAGTAAAATCATCTTCAACTAACAAAAGAGACGAAGCAACCCTGATAGTTCACAGCTACTACAGCATTTTTATCTTTCTGGAAGGCAAGAGCCACTGTAAGGCTCTCTGAGTCACATGTGAAAAAGATCCCAAGGGCATAAATTAAGGAATGGGAATAAGGATGAATTCCATTACTCAGTCTAACAAAGAATAAGAATCCATTATGGTCAAGAAGGCATAGTGCTCTGTGACACAGGTGACATCAAGATGAATAAAACTGTCCCTGTCCTTGAGGAGCTTACAATTTAGTACAAGCACACAAACTATATTAACAGGCCTAACAAAGGAAGTACCAAGAAGTACAAAGTTCTCTAGGAGGTGAATCACTACCAATCACTTCACTTCAATTTCATGTTAACAGACTAAAACATCCAGGTAAGGGACACCTATTGTACTAACCTGATTAAGAGAAGCCCCGAGTGAAACAACTCCAGTTGAGATCTATGGAAACGGATGCTACAGTGAAACATTATCTGCTTATCCACACCTTGGCTAAACCAAGCTTACCCAGAGATTGTTTCAAGAATTATACCAGGTTAACCAAAGAAATACTTATATAAGATACAGAGAAGGTGGAAACTGGAGACAGAGAAGTCCCCAACAACTGATGTTGACTTAGGTCTGTGGCAAGAAGACTATGCAAAACCCAGACCAAGATTGGGACTGGGGATTTTCCCTTCTAAAGTTTTCTCTTTTCCATCACTCACCCCCAGAATATCCCAGCTCTTCTGCACCTCACCTGCATAGGGAGGGGAATTCTCTCCAGATTTATGCCACAGTCTAGCAATAACCACTCTGGAAAGACGCACAGTGTTTAAAAGTTGATAAGGTTCTTGTTCACCCATCAGCTTACTAAGTCCTGAACCAAGAGACTAGGGACCCAGCTCTGTGTGACTTCGGACTAGTCATCCAAGTGCTTATTACTTCGTTTCCCTATTGCAAATTCTGGGATTATGAGGAGACTGGGATTGAATTGGATGACCTCTGAGGTCTAAAAGCCTCTTGACCAGCCGGCACAGAGAAACACTGGACAAAGAGTCCGTTGAATAAATAGCGAGGTCGGCCACAGGGAATAAGCGAGAGGGACGGCAGGCCCGTTTTATAGACGAGGAAAGTGAGGCACCGAACACCCAGCCCCAAGGTCACTCTAGCTGTCACTGTAGGGGCCCGGCCGAAAGCTCAGTTCTCCAGACTGCCAGTCCCGGGCCCTTTCTCCTTTCGCAGAGCGGAGAAGAGTGGCGTGGAGGGTCCTTGTCCCGGGGAGAAAGGACTGTGCCCATGCCAGGGCTGTGAGAGGGGCGGTGGGTGCTTACCTTCCAGATCGAGTCTCGCCACCGGCACCTCCCTCTTAGAACCTTAACCCGTCACCACCCCGACGACTCTTCGGAAGCCCCCTCCACTTCTGCCGGGCTCGACGTGTCCACGACCGCCACCGAGGCCGCGGATTCCCGCCCCTGCCCCGCCCCCCGCCTCGTCGGCCAATCCTTGCGCAGGATTTCGGAGCTCCCGCGGATTTCACTGCCTCTGCAGGCTGGAGAAGCCTTACGTCACGGGCGCGCGTGCCCGCGAGGTCCTGCCATTTGCCTTTCCCCCACCTTCTCCGGAGTCTAGACCCCTCCCAGCCGAGCCACCGTGCGAGAGTTCGTCCTGCCGGAAAGCAGCACGCCACCGCGGCATTTCACGACGTCGGCAGTGAAAGGCCCGAAAACACTCTTGTTTTCCCCCTACGGCTGGGCGAGAGGCACCGCGATGTTCGGTGCGGGAGACGAAGACGACACCGACTTCCTTTCGCCTAGCGGCGGGTGAGTGACTGAGAAGCGTGGGACAGGGGGCGTAACTGAGAGAACTGGGCAAATGGTGGGAGGGGTCGCTCTCCTCTTAGACTTCTCTCCAACTTCCGGGTCCAGACCCCTGGCACATTCCGGTGCTCTTCAGGTTTCAGAATCCGGGCAGAGCTCGAAACTGTGCCGTGTCTGTCCACCTCGATTCTGGACCTGGCGTGTCCCATGTCACTCAGCCTGGCCCTGGGCTTCGCCTTTTGCTTTGTGGGTCAGTTTCTCCTTCTGTGAAATGGAGGTGATTACTGATGAGAACGTCTGCCTCAAGAGTTTTTATAGGAGTCAGCTGGGGCTGATATGAGACTTTCTCTTCCCTGTGGACAAAGCAGTGACACTTCAGAATTGGCCCTTGTGGGTTAGCTTCCGCATCTTTCAAGGCCCAGCCCGGATGTCACCTTTTGGTGCTTTCCCTTCTCCCACAGACCCGGGCAGAATGCATTTGCTTTCTCTTCCTTATTCCCACAGTTAGGCTGATTACCTCTATCCTTGCAACACCGAACCTACCGGATTATGAACCCTGACAGAACAGGGACTTGCTTTTGCTGTTCATCTGTGTCTAGCGCTCAGCACAGTATGTCGTGTGTGCTCCGGAAGTGCCTGTTGAATGAATGATAGCTGTGAAATTGCACTTAAAAGCTCAAAGCCAATGTAAGAGACTGCAGTCGCTACCCCTTGCCCCCAGTCATTATATATGCTAGCCTGGGGTGCAGGACTTCAGGAGGCAGGGTTTTGTCTCTCCCCATAATCAGTTTAGCCTTTTCCCTCATGTTGTGTAAGTAGACAGCTTGACTCCTTTGAAAGTGAGCTACCAGTACTGATCCTTACAGAGCCCTTTCTTTGAACATATGTTTAACAAATTTAAGAATGTACAGAGGGGTGATGAATACACCCAACATACATTCCTCATCTTACTGCTAAGAGGTTACAAAAATGATTAAGCTACTGTCCCTGCTCTCAAGTTGCTTCTTTTGGAGAGTTCAGTACAAGAATGACCATAAAATGACATCAGCTCTCTTTTGGTCTTGAATAGGATCTTTTGAATTACACTGTGACTGGCTGTATATTACCTACCCTTAAGTCCTTTCTTCACCCTTACCACCGTGTTCCACCCCTGCTCTCACTTTAGATGGTCTATATCCACTGAGTTCCGCTTTGGGTTCTTTAAGTTGCTCAGTTATTTTGGAGTTAAGCTATGCTTTGGTTCCTTTTTCCCTATTCCACCCAAAACACTCACTAAAATTTCCACATAGTCCAGCCTGCTGCTGTTGACTGTGTAGTCACCTTTTTGATTTAGGCTTAACTCACCTATTAAAAAAAAAATCTGAGGGGCGCCTGGGTGGCTCAGATGGTTGGGCGTCTGCCTTCGGCTCAAGTCATGATCCCAGAGTCCTGGGATCGAGCCCCACATCGGGTTCCCTGCTCGGCGGGAAGCCTGCTTCTCCCTCTCCCACTCTCCCTGCTTGTGTTCCCTCTCTTGCTGTGTCTCTCTCTGTCAAATAAATAAAATCTAAAAAAAACAAAAAACAAAAAACTGATGAGCTAGCAAATAGATTCAGGTGAAAAATAGATGAACCCAATTTAAAACGAGCAAAAGAGGGGCACCTGGGTGGCTCAGTTGGGTAAGCGTCTGCCTTCGGCTCAGGTCATGATCCCAGGGTCCTGGAATCGAGCCCCGCATCGGGCTCCCGGCTCAGCGGGAAGCCTGCTTCTCCCTCTCCCATTCCCCCTGCTTGTGTTCCCTCTCTTGCTGTCTCTCTCTCTCTGTCAAATAAATAAATAAAATCTTTACAAAAAAATAAAATAAGCAAAAGATTTGAATAGATATTTCTCCAAAGAAGATGTACAAATTGCCAATAAGTACATAAGAAGATGCTCAACATCATTAGTTATTAGGGAAATGCAAATTAAAGCCGAAGAGATACTGCTTCACACCCACTAGAATGGCTGTTATCAAAAAGACAATAATGTGCTGGTAAAGATGTAGAGAAATCGGAACCAAATACAGGCAGAACTCACTGTATGGTAGTGAGTTACTGCAAATGTGGCCATGCAAGCTGAAACTGTACAAAGCAAGCTTAATAGGGCGCCTGGGTGGCTCAGTCGTTAAGCGTCTGCCTTCGGCTCAGGTCACGATCCCAGGGTCTTGGGATCGAGTCCCACATCGGGCTCCCTGCTCCATGGGAAGCCTGCTTCTCCCTCTCCCACTGCCCCTGCTTGTGTTCCTGCCCTCACTCTCTCTCTCTCAGTGTTAAATAAATAAAATCTTAAAAAAAAAAAGCAAGCTTAATAATTAATGGGGAAGATTACAGTTGTTTCATGGTCTTTAAAAATTTTGGTTGAAACAAACTTTGTACCTTGAGAATTAGTATTTTATTTTATTTTTATTTTTATTTTTTTTAAGATTTTTTTTATTTATGGGGCGCCTGGGTGGCTCAGTTGTTAAGCGTCTGCCTTTGGCTCAGGTCATGATCCCAGGGTCTTGGGATCGAGTCCCACATCGGGCTCCCTGCTCCATGGGAAGCCTGCTTCTCCTCTCCCACTGCCCCTGCTTGTGTTCCTGCCCTCACTCTCTCTCTCTCTGTGTTAAATAAATAAAATCTTAAAAAAAAAAAAGCAAGCAAGCTTAATAATTAATGGGAAAGATTACAGTTGTTTCATGGTCTTTAAAAATTTTGGTTGAAACAAGCTGTACCTTGAGAATTAGTATTTTATTTTATTTTATTATTATTATTTTTTTAAGATTTTTTTTTATTTATGGGGTGCCTGGGTGGCTCAGTCGTTAAGCGTCTGCCTTCGGCTCAGGTCGTGATCCCAGGGTCCTGGGGTCGAGTTCCACATCGGGCTCCCTGCTCAGCGGGAAGCCTCCTTCTCCCTCTCTTCACTCCCCCCTGCTTGTGTTCCCTCTCTCGGTGTGTCTCTCTCTATCAGATGAATAAATAAAATCTTTTTTTAAAAAAAAGATTTTTTTTTTTAATTTATCTGTCAGAGACAGAGAGATCACAAACAGGGGGAGCTGCAGGCAGAGGGAGAAGCAGGCTCCCCGCTGAGCAAGGAAGGAGCCCGATATGGGACTCGATCCCAGGATCCTGGGATCATGACCAGAGCCGAAGGCAGATGCTTAACCGACTAAACCACTCAGGTGTCCCTTATTTCTGTTTTTAAAAACTTGTCAAGAGGGGTGCTTGGGTGGCTCAGTCATCTAAGCACCTGCCTTCAGCTCCGGTCAAAGGATTGACCCCTTTGTTAGGCTTCCTGCTCAGCGGGGAGTCTGCTTCTCCCTCTCCCTCTGCCCCTTCCCCTGGCTCATGTGGCTTGTGCGCACGAGGTCTCTTTCTAATTATAAAAATAAGATCTTAAAAAAAAAAAAACTTATCAAGAAAAAAAGTCAAGAGTGCTTGCCTTCCCTTTGTACATCTTATATGGAGGGAACATTTCTTCTATACCTTGGCAAATTGTCATATTTCTAAGTCTGGATCAGCTTCTGACATTTTATCATTTGAGTTTTCAATCTTGTAAAGTACTTCCAAGAGTTCCTTTAATGTGAAGTTTTTTTGCTATGTCATTTCTTCTGGGACATTCGTCATAACCACTTACTTATATTGATGTTTTCCCTCTTTAAGTTCTTCTGACTGCATATCTAGAGTCAAACAGCAGTGACGTTAACAATTCACAGTTTACCATTTCTTCTATAACTTCATTTATACTGTGACCCAAATTTCACTTCCAGCATTATCACATTAGTTTCTGTGCTGCACTTTTATCTTTGTTGGCCAATTCTGTCTTTTGAATATCTGGTTTTCTAAAATGTCACATGGGTTTATCATTGGTAGACAAGACAGCACAAGCACACGCTTTGCTCTCTGTCTCTGAACTGAAAAACAGTGTGCAATGTCCAATCACCAACACACTGAAAGAAGTGACAGTCGCTCACTGATCATGATCTGTGTCTGTTATGTACTGATTTGTGGACTGAAGAGCCAGCTGCAAAGTTTGCACTTTATGCATTTACTCAGTTAATAAACCATTATAATTGAAATTTGAACTGTGCTGTTGAGGGACTAGTGTTTAATTAAAACGTTACCTGAAGATGTTGTGTATAGGAACCGTGCAAGCTGAGGGCTTCTTGTAGTAGGGCGGCAACTTTCATAAAACTAAACTACAGGATATGAAAGGGCAAATAAACATATTCATAAGAAGACTTTAACAAACATCTCCCAAACCTAGAATAAAGTGGATAAAAAATTAGTAAGGATATGTTTTTTAAAAGGGGAAAAAGCTTTTTTTTTTTTTTTTTGGAAAAAGCTTTTTGAATTAATATTTTTTCATATCAATCTGTTTTGTGTATGGCTGTGACTTTTGGAACTTTATAAGAGATACTTTAACAAATTTTTTTTTTTTAAGATTTTATTTATTTGACAGAGAGAGACACAGCGAGAGAGGGAACACAAGCAGGGGGAGTGGGAGAGGGAGAAGCAGGCTTCCTGCTGAGCAGGGAGCCCGATGCGGGGCTTGATCCCAGGACCCTGGGATCATGACCTGAGCTGAATGCGGACGCCCAACTGAGCCACCCAGGTGCCCCAACAATTTTTTTTTAAGATTTTATTTGAGAGAGGGAGATAGAGCATGAGTGGGGAGAGGGGTAGAGGGAGATAGACAAGCAGACTCCCCACTGAGCAGGGAGCCCACGGGGTTAAGGTTAAGGACTCGATCCCAGGACTCTGAGATCATGACCAGAGCTGAAGTCAGACGCTTAACCAACTGAGCCACCCAGGTGCCCCTATAAGAGATACTTTATTTTTTAAGATTTTATTTATTTGACAGGGAGAGAGAGAACACAAGCAGGGGAAGCAGCAGGCAGAGGGAGAGGGAGAAGCAGGCCCCCCGCTGAGCAGAGAGCCCAATGCGGGACTCGATCCCAGGACCCTGAGATCATGACCTGAGCCGAAGGCAGACACTTAACCAAA